CCCAAGTTGGCCACATCCAGCAGGAACTCATTAGCACTGGCTACATTAGGCCTAACATACAAAGGAGTTCCTGCTACAAAAAAAGCCCTGAGTTTTGATAACAAACAAGGTAAACAGAATAAGAAGCAAAAGGTGGATGTGGCTTCTGGTAACATGGGGGTGCGGCCTAATATGCTAATGAGTTTCTGCTGTTGGGTGTGGCCTATTATGCTAATGAGTTCTTGCTGGGCTTTTTCTACAAAAAAAGCCCTGATAAATAGAATTTACAGATAAATAAAAACAATTTATAGTAGCATAGATTTTAAAAGAAAAAACACAAAACAGGTCGCACTGTTTCATTATATATGTTATTTTCAAGCCGGTGCCATTGGGTCTCTAAGATCTTACTGATCTGGGCTTCATTGAGGTGGTAGGCTTCCATTTCAGCAGGGGAGGCCAAGTTTTTTATTGGCTGCCTGCTGCCTCAGCCAAAGGCCTGGTGGAACAGCTCCGTTTTACAGGCCCTGAGGAACAGTAATATCAGATGGGGGCCTGTTCCACCAGGTTGTGGCCAGGGCAGAAAAAGGCTAAGCAGATGTCTCTTGTATATTTAACAACAAAAGACAAAGCGCATGTAAATCACATTAAGCCAAAGTCTGGCATTGCAGCTGGTGCTGAAAATAAATTTTGAACTGTCCCCAAGAACTAGCAGAGGCTTTAAAAGCAGTGTATTGGGGGGGGGGGGGGTTTAAATATATAAAAAAATTCTTTGCCTTGGAAGCACAAAAGCCTTACGTAGTATCCCCAAGCCCCCACGTTTCCCAGTTGAGGGGAAAATGCTTTTCAAATGACAAAGATGATCTGACTCCAGTGGTAACAGGAGAAAGAATTTTTACTTACAAAAATAGAAGCACGTCTCACATGACATATTCATGTAGGTATATTTAAGTTATTGTGAGCAGATTAACTTCAGAAAGGTTAACATGCTACAGCTCCGAGCCCAGGGAAGAGAGAGAAGATATAATTAAAAACCAAAAGCAAGCAATGGCCAAAGAGGCCGAACATCTGACAGATGAGAGGGCGGGGCCACTGAATGAGAGAATTCTCTTAACCCTTTCCCTCCCAGATCCACTTGCATGCAGAGTTACAATATCCGACAATTTTAGCCATGTCCTACATGAAACAGGTCTGGGCTAGGCAGTACAGCAGCACTCAGAGAAGGCTGTTGGAGAGAACCTTCCTTCCTTCCTCCCCTTTTTTTAAACTCCATCAAGGAAGCCTGTGTCGAGGACAGTTCAGTTCTGTTGCGTGGCTGGTGGCTTTGGAGACCTCCTGCTCCCTGGTTCTGTTCCAGCCCTCCTAACGCACAAGTAACAGAATTTGCCTACAGCTTCCCAGTTGAGATGTGTTCTTTTTTGGGGTGCTCCTAAATCCCAGGGAACTTTGCAGAAAAGCACCTTATACCATTGTAGTTGGCCCATCTTGCAGGGCAAGCTCTTTCCAATCTTAACACATAGCAAGTTTATTTTGCCCATGTGTTGGTGTGGTTCCTTGTAATGGAGCTCCCCACTCTCCAACCCTCATTTCCTTGCAAGAGTGGTATGTATCCAACCAGGCGGTTCCTTTGGAGCCACTGTGCTTTTCCTGAGGGGTCTGCTTTGGCCACCAAGGAATAACATTTCATGGGGCTTGCTGGGCTGCAGTGAGGGGGGGAGCAGGAGAGTCTGGCTCCATGAAGGCTGAGGATGGTAGGCTGTCACGGCTCAGGTGGGGTGTCACCTGACACTGCCACCACTCTGGATTTAAGATCCCTTGAGAAGCCCCAGAGCACCCTCCCAAGACCATCAGACCTCCCTTTTGGCCGAATAATAGGCGTGAGGACCAGGCAGAGTAAATAACAAGGAAAAGGTTTATTTTATAGGAGGTCAAACAAACAAGGTGCAGGAATAATAACAGTAAGTGGGTGAAAAGAAAAGAAATCAAATGCCCAGATGCGTCTAAATATACTGTCCCTAGCTCACTATCTCAAGTGGCCTAGGACTACTCACCCTTCCCTCAGGATGAGGGTTTCTTCCCCACAGCAGCCTCTTTCTTCTGGCTCTGTTCCCTGGGAAGAACAGCTTTTCTTATTGTACCAGTCCCTAGCCCTCTTCTTCCCCATTGGTCAAAATCAGCACCAAAATGTCCCCAGGCCTTCTGGGGTTTGTAGGCCCAGCCTCCCCTACTGCTAGCCAGGGTCCTTGGGCCTAGTAGGCCTCTGGTGGCACAGCCCAGATCACGACATAGGTGTAGGGTTGCCAAATCTTTTTTACCTGGCGGCGGGGGGCTCCTGCGCGCGTGCACAGCCCGGATGTGACGTCATGCCGCCGGGCACACTGGGGGCAGGGCCACAGCCATTTGAGGGGAAAACTCTATGTTTCCCCCTCAAATGGCTGTAGCCGCACCCCCAGCGTGCCTGGCGTCATCACGTCACATCTGGGTGACGTGCACGCCGGGGTGGGGTTTCCCCTGGGGCCCGATTTCGCGGCGGCGGAAATCGGGCCTCCAAAGCGGGGGGAAATCCGCCCCCCAGGGGGAATTGGCAGCCCTATATATGCCACAGGTCAGGAAAGGCACAAATATGTATAGAAAAAGGCCTGCATGGTTAACAAACAAAGTAATGGAAGCTGTAAAAGGTAAGAAGGATTCCTTTAAGTTGTGGAAAGCTAGTCTCAGTGAGGTTGATAAAAGGGAACACAGGCTGTGGCAAATAAAATGCAAGAAACCATGCCAGGAAAAGGGCTCAGGTGATGTCCAGGTGGATCAGTTAGGTCAGGAGGAGCACTCAGCCGGAACAGCAGCACTGCAGCAGGGCAGCAGAAAATTGCCAACCAGTCAGGCCAACAAACCCTCTCTCTCTCCAACAGTCAGCACAAGAACCAAGTCAGCAATGGAGTCAGGTTGGGGAGACTGGCTCCTTTTATGCTCTCTGACCATGCACAGAGGATTTCAAAAAGATACACCCTCTGTGATTGGCCAGAGAGCAGATGCCAAAAAACCCTATTGGCCACTGGGCCACAGGCCACACTAGTGCTCCCCCTCCCTCCCTGGGGAAAGAGGAAGTTGGAGCAAGGCAGGTGCACACAACAGCCCTGCAAAAAGTCACAAAGTTTCAAACTGCAATGCATTTTGCAAATGCATTGCAGTGATTGGCTGGTCTGGGTCCCCTCTTCCCCCCTCTCTCCTGAAAACAGGAGGTAGAGGCGGGAAACAGGAGAAAATGGCGCCAAAGAGGCGGAAACGGCGGGGAAAACGGGGGTTCCGGGCCGCCCTTTAATGTTTAAAGGGCAAAGCAGGGCAAAGCGGCCATTTTTCGGCATTGCCGAAAAAAACCCGAATTTTTTCGGGATTTTTTTCCGGCTTTCAGGAAGCTCATAGAAGGCTATTTCGGGATCCCGAAAGCCGAAAAAAGCCGAAAAACGTTATTTTCGGCTTTTTTTTGGCTCGGGATCCCGAAATGCACATCCCTACTTGAGACTTCTCTGCCTTGACTCCTCGGCAGGGACTATTTGGTGTGGCTGACCTTAAGGTCCAGAAAATTCTCTTTCGGGCTGCTCAGTAAAGTCTTCACCCCATTTTCCTCCTTTACCTAATGCAGCCTTGCCTCCATTAGCTCTCATAACTCATCATGGGCCGTGCTTGCTCACAGATAGACCTAGAACAGGGACCCCCAAATGTTTTCAAGCCTGTGGGCACATTTGGAATCCTGACACAAGGTGGTGGGCACCAGTGTTCCCTCTAGAGTCAGTTTGGTGTAGTTGTTTGGAGCGCGGACTCTAATCGGGGAGAACCGGGTTTGATTCCTCACTCCTCCACATGCAGCTGCTGGTTTGACCTTGGGTCAGTCACAAGTTCTTCCAGAGCTGTTCTCTCAGGAACAGTTCTCAAAAGAGCTCTTTCAGTCCCACCTACCTCACAGGGTGTCTGTTGTGGGGAAGGGGAGGGGGAGGAGATTGTAAGCTGCTCTGAGACTCCGAGTGAAGGGCGGGGTATAAATCTAATCTCTTCTTCTCTTCTTATTCTAAGCTGTTAGTGTGAGCTAGCTCACAGTGTTTTAGCCTCCGGCTGACACATTTTTGTCTCAGGAAAGATGGCTCCAGAGTAAACTAATTTATGCAGTGGCCGAATCGCTCGCTCGCAACTTTAATGCCAGCAGCTCACGTTTTTGCTCAGAGGGAGCATCGGTGGGCACAATGACAAAATGGCTGCCACAGGAGGGTGGAACCAGCCACAAAACATTGGGGAGCGCAGTAACTCTTCAACATTTCAGGCAGAAGCTCTGCTATAACAGGACGCCTTTTAGACTGCATAGCCAGTCGAAGCCCTGCTGGACACAAGCCCCACTTGACCCTGCCCCCTTTCTAAAATATTGGACCTAGCGGTAGGTGATGGGGAAGACTTCTCTCCGCCTGAGACCCTGGAGAGCTGCTGCCAGAGCAGACAAGACGGACCCTGGTGGACCGGGGGGGGGGGGGGGGGTCTGATTCAGTCTAAGGCAGCTTCATGTGTGTATGTTGCCTGCCTCTTGATGGGGGGGGGGTCCTGTATGAATTGGTTTAAATTTTATACACTCGGATGTTAGGAAAGGTGCCGCCAGGCCCCATAGCTCCCACAGGCACCATGTTGGAGACCTTTGGCCTAGAACACTGCAGTCCCAGTGCTTCAGGGTGGGGTGAGGCCCAGCGACCCCTGAGGCCCATCTGTTTTGCTGTAACTGGAAGGGGGTGAGGGTAGAATCGTCGCACTAATTCGTGATCGTGTGGGCTATGTCCCCATAAGCTTTATCTGCTATTAAACAGGGTAATCTCTCGGATTTGTGGACCCTGATGATCTCTTCCTCAGTGGGTGTACGCAAATTAGTTTTCTGTCATTTTTTTTTCAAGAAAAGTGTGTATCTGTTCAACCTAGAAACTGTTCTGTGGTGTGGTTGCAATTCCTCATTAGCACAGATACTGGGTATTTGATGCAGAGATTTTTTACCGTGCATTCGTAGACAATTTCATCTTGAGCACAACTCAAAACAGGCCCACCTCGTCATGGAAGGATCATACCGTGGATTTTGTTATAAAATCTTTTGTCAAAGAGGAGTTTGCAGGACCGTTGCCCATAAAATGACATTTTCCTCCCCTCTCTTCACAGTGTGACATTAGCAATATACTATCACATAAAGAACAGGTAAGCGTGTTTGTTTTTTTCATTGTTGTTCGTAGGTTTGATGCTTTCTAACTTAGTCTCTGGCATCTGAGAAATCCAGAGCTCTTTCTGGTGGTGTTAAGCTAAAGTTCTGGTGTTAGCCCAGAACAGCCCATTGCCCCCAGCACAAACTAGGAATGAATTAATGTCCAGAGATTAGAGTTAAACATGTACTGCGAAGTCACAAGGAAAACCTAACTATAAAACATGAATCTTTTGAAATGTCTGTGAGCACTTTGTCCCATCACAATCGCATTTCAGGCAAGCATTGCAAGACAGCCGTCTAGACCTCTGGAGTGTGTCGCTTCCCCTTCATGATGGATCAAAATCAATAACTTATTTAGAACTGTTGAAGTTGCCCCGGAGAGAAGTAGTTGTGAATGCAAAGACTGAACAACACCCTGGGTGCGTTCAGACGGGGGATTTACAACGGTTAGGGTGCCGGTTCCAACCGGTGTACTTACAGGCGTTCATACGGTGAACATCTGCCTCCCGTCCCTAACCGTTGTAAATCCCTTTAAACCGTTGCACTCTGCCACTAGGTCCCAAGTGGTGGTAAACTGAGTGCAACGGTTGAAAACGGTGCACCCCGGCGTCTGATCGCTCTCCAAACGTTGTACAGCCACTTCCGTCGGAAGCCTGAGGCTTCCGGCTTTCCCCCGCCATTAAAAAAAAAAAAAGCGATATGCGCTCGGGCGAAGCTTCGCCCCGAGCGTTTGTTAAGAAAAAAAAAAAAGCCCTTACTTTAACTTCCCAGAGCAGTCCGGGACTACAGGGAGGCCAGGTTGGGCTTTAAACTTTAAAGGTAAGTCCTTACCTTTAAAGTTTAAATGTAATGGGGGGGGGGGTTGAGCATGCGCAAAAATCACCATTCTCTGAATGGCTGCATATGTGCATGCTCAAACTGTCCTTAAAAAAACCCCAAAAACGCTGACGCCCGCAGCGTGTGAGTGGGCGTCCACCGGAGGGATCCGCAAAAGGGAGGGTAAGTGTGATCGCGTTTCTGCCGGCATAAACTGCACCGGTTCCAACCGGTGCAGTTTATGCTGGCAGAAACGCCCCGTCTGAACGCACCCCCTGTGTGAAATCTGGTTAAAGATTCCCTGTGCCTGGAAGTTCTGTGCACAGCAGCTTTGTAAACGGGGCTGGCAGAGACTGGTGATGGATGCGCACCTCTCCTCACTCTCTCCTCCGTGGAGGACGTTGAGCTCCTCCACTGAAGTTGTGTGTAGCCAGTGTGGTATAGTGGTTAAGAGTGTCAGATTAGTATCGGGAAGACCCACGTTCAAATCCTTACTTGTGCCATTGAAGCTCACTGGGTGACCCTAGGCCAGTCATAGTCTCTCAACCTAACCTACCTTACAGGGTTGTTGTTAGAATAAAATGGAGGAGAGGAGAAGGATGTAAGCTGCTTTGGGTCCCCACTGGGGAGAGAGGTGGGACACGAATGAGTTAAGTAAATGAAGGAAAGAAGGAATTTACTCTGAGGTTGAGGGGAGTCCCTTAATATCAGACTCTCACTTGAATCGTTGCTCAGGCTCTGCTCTTGGATGTATGCCGTTGTAACACATGTAAATATTCGTGAATTACTTGCCAGTGCAAAATCCTCATCTATAACCTGAGCGGTGATATGAAGACTGGGATCCACCCCCCAATACTGTCAGCCTGTCTGCCTTGGAGGGCCCCCCCCCCACTGTTAGCCTGTCTGCCCACTCCGACCTGTGTTAACCGTTTGTGGTGTATTATGTCTGAGAGTGAAGGAGGAAAAACCCACAAACTCTTCTGGTTCACAGAAGTTTCCGTGCCTGATCCCCTGGAGCTGCTTACGAGCCGACAATTGTCAGTATCGAGATTAAAGCTCATAAAGCCTTGAACAGTGCATGAAAAAAGAGCAATTTTCATAACTGTAATTTGTATCCCACCCTTCGTTTTAAGCAGCTTATAGCGCAGCCTCTGTTGAGTCACTCCAGTCGAAGGCCACTGAAATCAGTAGGCTGCGAAGGAAGTAACTTTGCACAGGACTGCACTGTTCAGGGTGGCATTTAACCACAGCAACCCTGTAAGGGAGGCTGGCCTGAAAGGTGTGCCTGTTCCAGAGCCTCTTGGTCGCCTGTTTAGGTGAGCGTGGCCTGAACCCAAGTGTGATTTCTAAGGCAAGTGGCTTTAGACACCTCCAACGCTCGTACATGCAACAGTACACAGGGGAAAATGGAAAAAATTAAAATGTAAGACTTTTTTTAACATATTGCTTGTAGTCTTACTGTTGTCGCTTTAAAAATTTAGAACTGCGCAACTGTGCAGGGAAAAAATGGCGATGGGGAAAGGGGGGTGGGCAGGAAAGGAGACATCGGCCACTGATTGTGTCTGTGGGGGGGGGACATCATGCTTGTCTCTTGGGTTTTTCCAAGATGATGCTAAATGGAATTCAAGTGTTTGTCTTGGTAAAAACTTTGCAAATCCCCACGACGTGACCCTTCCTGTGTTGCAGGGATTCGGACAGATCACTGGATATTTTTGATGAGAAATCTCACCCGCTCACGGTAAAGCTGATTTTTTTCTCCATCTCAGTCTGTCTTGATTGTTTTGAGTGCGTCCAGCCTGAGAAGTGAAGCGGGGTGGCTGAAAAGGAATGGCTAAAAATAACGTAGTTTAAAATTTAAATCTGCTCACTGCAAATGTAAGGTCTTTTTTTTTTTTTTTAAAGAAGATTATGACCCCCTTGTTCAAGGTTGCTTTTCTTTGCAGAGGACACTGTAGGGGGAGACACTTTTGCCAGTGATCACGTAGCACTTAATTTATCGGTTGATACCAAAGACGGGGAAGGCCACCCAGGTATTTGACTCCTCTCTAATGCTGGAGAACTACCTGATTGTTGGCTCAGTTCTGTAACTCTGTGATTCTGTCTGCAAAATGACATGGGCCTTTCCCATCTCGCACAGAGATTGAGAACTGGCACCTGATTCTGATGGAGACGGCCCTGTGTTCTAAGAGACAGGATAGGCTCTGTGACAAAGGATATGGGACTCAGAGAAAGAAGAGCACTCAATGGGGTCCAGTCAGCACCTCTCTACAAAATCCTGGAGAATCTGCAAATTATCAGAAACCCTGTTTGAAATCATGAGCATAAAATTATCTGAAAATAAGCACCGTGTTGGACCCCACAGGTCCATTCTGCTAAAGGGGGGGGGGGGGGTCTCTGGAATTAAGCAGTCATTCTCCAAGCACTTAAAATTAGCTCTCCGGTGCTGCTATTGCCATGGTTTTTATCCCTCCCGCGGTTGCATCTTCTCCCCTTTGTCTTTCACGTGAAGGAAGGAGGGACATGCACATATCTTTGTGCTGGGCAGTGAAACATTATCAGCACCTTTTCCCTTCCAGGTCTCCTCCTCCACACACACCCGTATGCACCCTTGCTCTGGGGAGGGGCCGTGGCGCTATGGCTGTAGCTTAGTGGTACAGCACCTGCTCGGCATGCAGAAGGTCCCAGGTTCAATCCCCAGTATTTCCAGTTAAAAGATCTGGCAGTAGGTGGCACGAAAGTCCTCTGCCAGAAACCCTGGAGAGCGGCTGCCAGTCTGAGGCGGCAGTACTGACCTGGATGGATCAGGGGGGTCTGATTCTGTGTAAGGCAGCTTCATGAATGGGAAAGGAATGGGCTATTGGCACTTTCCCGCCGTTTTTCTGTTTCAATAGGGGGCTCTTCGTATCTCTCAGAACCTGCTCTAAAGCCACCCCCCCCCCCAGTCATTGAGTGAGATTCCTTTTTGGGAAGCTGGGGAATCTGCGGCACAAAAGAGGAGGACGAAACCGCTCGGGCTGGGCCCCCCGTGTAGCCCCACCCTTTGCACATAACTGGTTAAAGGCAACCCGTGCAACCGTCCCTGCCACGCTTTCCAAGAGTAATCCTCACTCGGCCTCTAAAAGTCCCCCCCCCACCCCCACTGTGTCCTCTTTCAGCGGGAAGAGGTTCCGGACGACTACTTCAAGCACGATCCCGATCACAAGCACATCTACCGCTTTGTACGTACACTCTTTAGTGCGGCGCAGCTGACTGCCGAATGTGCAATAGTGACGCTGGTAAGACATAACTGAATCTCCTCTACCTTGATTTTGGTGGTTGGTTTTTTTCCCGGGGGGGGGGGGGGTAGTGGTGGTGGAGAATTTCATGGAATCTGCAGCTCATGCACCAGGATTATTTTATAGATCTCCCACACTTCTCTTTAATAGGGGCTCAAAGCCGCTCGGTGGTGGTGGAAAGCGCCGTCAAGTCACAGCTGACTCACGGTGACACCCCCCCCCCGTAGGGTTTTCAGGGCAAGAGATGTCCTATCCTGCCTCTGTGTAGCAACCCTGCACTTCCTTGGTGGTCTCCCATCCAAGTACTCCCCCAAGAGCACTGCGATCAGGGGCCCAGAACCGATTGGCCCTCCTGAGTCTTGAGGAGGCCAGGCTGGCGACAACCAGGGCCAGGGCTTTCTTGGTGGTGGCTCCGTTCTGGTGGAACGAGCTCCGCAGGGCCTGTAAAATAGAGCTCATCCACCAGGCTTTTGGAGCCGCCGCCACCGTTAAGTATCATTAACAATTAACAGCTGAAGGATAGAGAGCCCGGTTGTCCCTGGAATGTCTAATAACAGCCCGAGCCAGTCGCCCGAAAGACATCCGAAGAAGACCTAGGAGCTGACTGTGTGATGTGAGAACCGAGTATCATTAAATATCCAAGTTACTTGGATGTGAGAACCAAGTATGGCAGCCATCGTTAAATCGATGACAATAATACTAGCCCTTGTTACGTTAGGCGGTTAAATGGTTTTAGCCAGGGGTCGTTTCATAGAAAAAGAGCTAGGGGAACTCATTAGCATAACTCATTAGCATATGCCACACCCCCTGACATCACCGGAAGTGTGTCATAAGGCCACACCCCCTGCCCCCAACGGTCCCGGCCGCCGCTGGCCTTGCAGCTCCACTGCTGAGCCCCATGAGGGGCCCGGCGGTGGACCTGCAAGGCCGGTGGGAGTGCAAGGAAGCCCCGCGAAGGCCCGCCCTGGCCCCAGGCAGGCAGGGGTGGGGAGAGGTAGGGAGGAAGCAACTTACCCTCCCTCTTCTCCTGCCTCCTCCTGGCTGAATGAGGGCCGGAAGCGGGGCAGCGGGAGCGGGGGGCTGGGCTTCGTCATGTGCCCCGCCCCCCGTACCTCGCCCGGGGGAACTGCGATCCCCCGCGATTCCCCCCGAAATGACCTCTGGTTTTAGCGTTGTTTTAACTGTTCTGTTGTAATTTATGGGTTGATTTTTATGTAAGCTGCCCTGAGCCGGCCTTGGCTGGGAGGGCGGGGTAGAAATTGGATAGACAGATAACTATAAATAAGACCGACCCTGCTTAGGTGCCAGGATTGGGCTAGCCTGGGCCATCCAGGTCAGGGCAAAGTTGCCCAGCGATAATTGCAGTGCAGCACAGCACCCGTGAACCAGATGTTTAAAGGCAGTTAGCAGCAATAGTGCGGAAGCTCACCCAGTTTCAAAGGCTCTCTGGTGCGAATGCGTTTCCAAGCAGTCCCAGGAAGCCAAAAGAAAAGATACCAGATACAGTGCTGGGAGCAGGAGGTTTCCAAGTCTTCTGTGCCCGCCAGCCTCACATCGGGCTAAGCTGGTTCCCCGGGCGCAGCACGGTTAAGTCTTGGGCAGGCTGATATGGGCAGGCTGAAGCAGACACCATCTGACATCAGTTTGGCCAATGATGCCTGATTGTTAATCGGGTCACTATGAGTATTTTTGGTCCCAGCCTGAGAAATTATTTACGATAACTGCGATCCCCTACTGCAGCTGGCATGGGGACGCCTTATTCCACAGGTCAGGGCATGAACAAGAGAAGTCCTGCGGTGCAGAAGGGTGCTTGTTAACGCTCTGTCTCCCGAAGTCCAAACAGTTCTGCAGACCAGCTAACCCGCCCTCTTTGCCAGTGACCTTGCCGTCTGCAGTAATGAATGGCCCTCTATTTCCTGTGATATTAGGTTCCTCTGCCATACCTTGGGAATGAATCTTGTGAAGGCCTGCTGGTGAAAAGCACTGCATGCTTAGTGTTTCAGGAATGATTAGTAAATTAGTCGCGGAGTATCCTGTCAAGCGCACATGCGCACTGAGGCTACTCCCCCTATGGGGTTATTCCCACTCCCAGTGACAGCGAATGGCAGAGGTGCTGCTTTAATGGCTCACATTTCTTTAACAGTTGTCGGAGACGGACAGTTCCAGTTCAGCCTGGTGGGGTCGGGGTCCATTCTCCAGTCACCACTTCCGCCAGCTTCCGCATGAGGTTCTGGGAGTTCCTCACCCAGGACTTTTAGGCCTCAGCCTCTGGCTTGCTGCATCCTCCTTGCAGGGTTAAACCTGGAGGCTGCTAGACTGGCAGCGTCCCGGGAGGCTCTCCGTCCTGTGCATTCCTGGCCAGGATCGCGACCTCCCAAGCAGTGTTCCCTCTAGGTTGAGTTAGTGTGAGCCAGCTCAGTTTTTTAGCCTCCAGCTTACACATTTTTGTCTTAGTTCAAGGATGGCTCCAGAGTAAACCGATTTATGCAGCAGCCAAATCGCTCACCCACAACTTTAATGCCAGTAGCTCACAAAGTAGAATTTTTGCTCACAAGACTCCACAGCTTAGAGGGAGCATTGGTCCCTGGGAGGCGCCGGTCTTTCCAGGCTGCATGGACCCCAAGCATTGGTGGCTGCTCTCCTATCCAGCTTCCTGCCTCTCCCAGCCACCTGATTCTTCCCTCTCCCCATTTTCCTTCTTCCCGGGGCTTTTAATCCACCTTCTCCTGGCCATCCGAATCCCTGTCTCCTGAGGAGGTTCTTTCTCCCAAGGGGGCTTCTGCCCCAGAGGAAGCCTTTATTCCACATGGAGCTCGATGCTGACTGTCATCCCTCTCGTTTGTTCCTTAGCCGATCACCCCTCCCCCACAAACACACACACCCCTTTCCCTGTTCTGCAGCTGTACCCGCTGCCTTTCTTAGGGGGTTGCACCCATGCTTCTCTCCCGCAGCGTTAGGGAGCCCAGGCGTGTGGCACTTGCTCCTAGATCTCACCTGCAAAATCAGTATGAATGACCAGTTTCAGTGGGGCATCTTCATTGGGGTGTGCTTTTGTGACAAGCCTTGTAAAAGCGCAAGATAATGTAGGAAACCAGCCCTTTCGGAAATATCCGCTAAGCTGTTAAAAACGCTTTGGCCACTAGGTGGCGCGGGTTACCACAGGAAAGAGCAAATCTGACGGCGGCAGGCAAAAATGCTAAATGTTTAAAGGAGCAGGTGGATCCAAAACAATTTATTGGAGATGTTTGCTGACTTGTAAGGTGGAAAAACTGTGGGTTTGTGGGTTTTTTAATCTGTTCACTAAATGGTTTTGTCCATGTCTGATGTGGAAGCCAAAAACAGCAGAAACCTTTTGCGACATACGTGGGTGTTCCTTGTTACTAAGTGGGCTTCCCTAGAGCAGTGGGGAACATCTCTAGCCGAATGCCTTGCTGGCACGATCCAGAATTTTATACCTTGGACATGTTTCCTTCTGGCCGATCAAGCAGTTACAGTTTGGTGAAAACCTGAGCTTAACTAAGGCTTTCAAAAAGGTTCTGAGGCACTCTACTGGGCGCGGTCTGTAAAATACACCGGTGATGAAGTTTGTGATGATACTTAGTTGTTTTCATTTGGCTCCACCAAATATGCCTTCTTAAATGTAGTGACTTGTTCTGTGCCTTTTCAGAGACACTTTAGTTCAGTTTGCAGTGCTCATCCTCCAGAGAATAGATTGCATGTGTTCAGCTTTAAAACAAAAGCATAAAATGGTGGATGTAGGAAGAATATATTGAAAGACAACCAACTTTGGCTGTCTTCTTCTCCAGCGAATGTTTGAGTTGTGAAGACCTAAGAGTAGTGGTCTCTTCCCTTTCTCTCTCTCTCTCTCTCTCTCTCTTTGCAGGTTTACTTGGAAAGGCTCTTAACCTATGCTGAGATTGACATCTGTCCAAGTAACTGGAAGAGAATAGTTCTAGGTGCTATACTGCTGGCTTCTAAGGTGTGGGATGACCAGGCTGTGTGGAATGTGGATTACTGCCAAATACTGAAGGATATTACAGTGGAAGACATGTGAGTGGCCGGGCCTGGTGAAGTTTTTCTTAAGTCACTATTTTTCCCCCCCAGAAATTTCCATTTACTCTCTGTTACAATTTCTAGCACAGGAAAATTCATTCCCACCCTTCTTCCAAAAGATCTCAGAGACTGTCCTCCCCCTTCTCCATTTTATCCTCACAACGCCCTTTGAGGTAGGTTAGGCTGAGAGTGACGGCACCAAGGACAGTAAAGATCCCTGGTGGACGGTTTCGGATCCTGAGGGTCTCCCAGGCCCAGAACTGATCCTCTAACCACCCCACCACAGCGATGATCTTCACGGCTTTCCGTGCCTGTTGCCCTCTACAAACATCTTTGGATCTTCCTCTCTGCTCACCACTAGTCTGTGCTCCTCAGTGTATTCTCTGGTCCACCTAGAAACGTGGGTCAGGGCCAGTAAACCCATCATTGGCAACGCACAGGAGAACTGCTAGTATTTCTGTGTCATTAGCCTTGCGTGCAGCTTGCCCTAGAATGAGAAAAGTAAATGACTTTATTTTCCTCTGCTGTGAATTCAGAAATATCTCAGTATTTAAACTGTTTTATTTTTTTCCTTCTTCGATTCATAAGCTTACTTTTTGGATGCCTTCAGGCATCCCACAAGTGATGTAAGCCCCTTTTCCACTTTACCAAGCCAGAATTTCTTCTAACACTGGATCACTGCATGTCAACACCCCCTCCTTCCTCTCCTGCATCCACCTTTGTAACGGTCTAATGCAAGGGTCCCCAACCTTTCTGAGCCTTTGGAATTTTGACAGTGTGGTGCGCACAGCCGTGGGAGGCAGAGTCAGTGACAAAATGGCTGCCTGAGCTTCCTTTCAGTCACACAGTGGAGACCGCCGTGCTGTGGTGGCTGCTGCCACCAAAGCAATGTTTTAAAAAATCTGCACGGCCAATCAAAAGCCTTGCTGGGCAGATGTCTCGCCTGGCCCCGCCCACTCTCTAACAACACTTGGCCGGTGCCAGGAAAGGTGTTGGCGGGCATCCCATTGGGAGCCCTGGCTTAACATCCACACGCACCGGCTTTCACCAGCTCACATGCAACAAACAGTAAAATGACACCTGTTTTTGTTTTTTTTTAAGTCCCTTGGTTTTTAAAAGCTGGCCGCAGTGGCCTCTCTTGGCAAATGGCAGTCTTCCCATGTTTGGTAAAAGTGAAAAGGAAAGGGCAGGTGATCACAGAGGCTCCACAGCGGAGCATTCCTACCGCAGCACAAGTCCCACAGACTGTGCAGTGGCCAAACCTCCAAGCATCGTTCCTCGTCCAGGGAGCCGCCACGGTGCCCCTTCCGGAGTACAGACAGCCTGCTACATAAGCTGCCTCCTCCTTGCATGGAGATTCACTCCAGCATAACTCCTGTTACACCGGCACTAAGCCTTCGGGAAGATCACTGCTTCCAGTTAGGCGGTATTGTCAGAGCTTTGCTTTCCCAGAACTGGCCCTTGCAGGCGTCCTCCGGTCTGGCATGGCACCCTGCTCCTACCACCTCTGGGCCAGGTTTGGTGCCACCAGTGCTCCCTCTAAGCTGTGGAGTCCTGTGAGCAAAAATTCTACTTTGTGACCTACTGGCATTAAAGTTGTGAGCGAGCGATCTGGCTACTGCATAAATGAGTCTGCTCTGGAGCCGTCCTTCCTGAGCTAAGAGAAGAGTGTGTGAGCCGGAGGCTAGCTCACACTAACTCACCTTAGAGGGAACACTGGGTGCCACCCTTTGAGAAAACCACCTGTGATTTCCCTGCTGCCAGAAATCCTTAGAGCCAGGGTTCTTTCTGGCAACCTCAGACATGCACTAAGTCCATATTTCATTTAAAGGTGGCTTCGTGCAATTGAAGCCAGTCTGCAGTGAGCGCACCCGTGCAGACTGACAAACACCACAACACCAGGATGTTTTGACTGCTGGAACACCCTTTTTTAACCAGGCACTGTTAAGCTCTCGGACAGCAATTAATCAGAGCTTGGTATTGTGATGTTCACTGTTAAATCCAAAACATCTGTGTGTGTCTGTGCTTGTGAGTGTGTGTGCACCTGGAAGTCATGGCGACCTCTGGTGACTGACCCCTACTGGGGACCTGGAGGATATTCAGAGAGGTGGCTGAATAAGACCTGCCTCCGCCTCTGGTATTCCAAGGAGGTCTCCCATCCAAGTACTTACCAGAGTCGACCCTGCTTAGCTTCCGAGGCCTGACAAGATCAGGCTTTCCTGGGCTATCCAGGTCAGGGCTGACTAAACTCCATTCAGAATTTTCTGCAGTAAACGTAAGGAACGATTAACTTGCTGTCGGTTACCTTAAAATTCCTCACCTTCTAGTCTCTCAAATTAAGGCTAAAGCTGGCCAGAAACAGTGTCCAGAAACTGCCCTTCGAAAATGTATTTATTTTGGTTTTGAAACTCCACTTCCTTTTTCTGTTTACATGAAAGTCCTCACTTGCGAGAAAGACCCTAGTAAGGAGCTCTCCGACAGCCAGGAGCTGCCCTTTTCTCTCTACGGGGTGCGTTCAGAATGCAACTTTAAATTGTGGTAAAAAGATGTGGGGTGGAGTCACTATGACTTCGTTCTTCCTGATAATTTGAAGAGCGGAGAAGCGATATGGAGTCATACATTAGAATTCTTAACGCTGCATTTTTCCGATTTCCATGAAAAGCAACTGAAACAAGAGGAAACTGGGAAGCTTGATCTGTTACACACTTTTGCCATATAAATACCTGCTTTAATGGAGTGACTTAATTGGTGTCGGGGGGGGGGAGAGAATTACCCCCCAAGCCTGCAGCTGCTAATCCCGTTGAGCACAATGTGCCCGCAAGAGGGGACGTGCTGTTCATTCTCTAGCTACGTGTGCTCGTCAATAAAGCAACGCAAACACGTGGGCCTTTTTGCTCTTTCGCGGGCTCTAAACCCCTATTAATAGACTTGCTAATCCAGCAAGCCATTGTTTCTTTTTGTTTTTGACACACAATTAAAATGTATTAGCAAAGCCGGCACAAAAGCATTAACGAAGAATATTTATCCGAGGGGGTAAATGAAGCCCCGATCAGCTGATCATCAAAACATTATCTGATTTACATCTCTATAAGCTTTATGGCCGTACGAGCAGGAAATTAATTTGGGCAGGAGGTTCAATGGGGGGACTTCAGTCGCCCTCGCTTAAAAGCGAGCCGCACGAAGCTCTTCTCGCTGCGCCCGACGCCATCCGGGAAAAGCAACGCCCGAGACAATTCCCTTTTTGTTTTTAGCTCGCACAAGTAAAATATCCACATTTTGGGGGGGAAAGATTATTCCTTGACCCCCTCCTAAGACCTTTTGCCTAGACCTAATACACCTAGGTGTGGAATACCCGACTGCAGCTGTAAGTGTGACAGGGGTAGAATCGGAAGACTGAATGCCGCGTCCAAGTCGTCTCACTTAGCACAGTTGAAAACAGGCCTGGGAAACTCACAGCGAGGTACACAACCCTCAAGTCCTCTTCTGCTCTCCTTACCTCTTTGTTGTGATCTTTCTTTCTTTCTTTCTTTCTTTCTTTCTTTCTTTCTTTCTTTCTTTCAATCAATGGTGCGACCTCATTTGGAGTACTGTGTACAGTTTTGGTCACCACACCTCAAAAAGGATATTATAACATTGGAAAAAGGGCAGAAAAGGGCAACTAGAATGATAAAAGGGTTGGAACACTTTCCCTATGAAGAGAGGTTAAAGCACTTGGGACTCTTTAGCTTGGAGAAACGACAGCTGAGGGGTGACATGATTGAGGTTTACAAGATTATGCATGGGATAGAGCAGGCAGAGAAAGAGGTACTTTTCTCCCTTTCTCACAATACAAGAACTCGTGGGCACTCCATGGAATTGCTGAGCGGTCGGGTTAGAACGGATAAAAGGAAGTACTTCTTCACCCAAAGAGTGATTAACACTTGGAATTCACTGCCACAGGAGGTGGTGGTGGCTACAAGCATAGACGGCTTCAAAAGAGAATTAGATAAGCCTATGGAGCCGAGGTCCATCAGTGGCTATTAGGCACAAGTTATAGATAGGAACTCTGTCTGGGGCAAGGGATGCTCTGTATTCTTGGTGCTTGGGAGAGGGGTCAACAGTGGGAGGGCTTCTAGTGTCCTGGCCCCACTGCTGGACCTCCTTGATAGCACCTTGTATTTTTGGCCACTGTGTGACAGAGTGTTGGACTGGTTGGGCCACTGGCCTGATCCAACATTGGCTTCTCTTACATTCTTACTACTACTCGTGGCTGGATATCCCCAGGTACTAGCATAGTTGATCACACTGTGTCCGTGCAGCCTTATTTACCATGTACCTGTTTATTTTACTTGGTAGACTGCACCCATGCCGTTGAAGCTTCACAGTGCGCAAACTTGCAGCGTGGAATTTGGCCTTGTTTGCTGAGCTTTGTGACGGTGAATCATGAAGGGAAACCACTGCAGGGACTGATCTGCAGGGGTTTGTGCAAGAATTTTCCCGGGGCCCCTCTGGGTAGCTTCCACAGCTGGTCTTGTGCAAGCAGAATGGCCTCTTTGGCCTCTTGTGCTATGGCAAACGTAGACGGCAAAATAAAAAGCAGAGACATCACCCTGCCAACAAAAGTCCACATGGTCAAAGCAATGGTATTCCCAGTAGTCCTGTATGGCTGCGAGAGTTGGACCATAAGGAAGGCCAAGCGCGGAAGAATAGGTTCTTTTGAACTATGGTGCTGCTGGAGAAGACTCTTGAGAGTGCCTTGGACTGCAAGGAGATCAAATCAGTCAATCCTAAAAGAAATCAACCCTGACTGTTCCCTGGAAGGCCAGATCATGAAACTGAAGCTCAAATACTTTGGCCACCAAAGGAGAAGGGAGCACTCACTGGAGAAGACCCTGATGCTGGGAAAGACTGAAGGTCAAAGAAGACGGGGACGGCAAAGGATGAGATGGTTAGACAGTGTCATAGATGCAACAAACATGAAGTTGAGCACACTCCAGAGGACGACGGGGGACAGGAGGGCCTGGCGTGATGTAGTCCGTGGGGTCGCGAAGAGTCGGATTCGACTGTGCGACTGAACAACAAAAACTGTGCTCCAGCGCAAGGTGTAGAGCTGTTCTCCTTCCGCATCCAGAAAGGGCCTTTTTGGATCAAACACCTTGAGTGTGCATCATCCGGTCCTTCATGAATGTGGAAACAGCTTCTCTGAAACCAGACGCTTCCCCAGCACACCCAACCAGCTTTCCCAAACTAGCATGATATAGTGATTAGAGTGTCGGACTGGGACCTGGGAGAACCAAGTTCGAATCCCTACTATGCTGTGGACGCTTGCTGGGTGACCTTGGGCCAGTCACGCCCTCTCAGGCCTGGGCCTACCTCACAGGGTTGTGAGGATAAAACAGGAGAGCAGAATTACGTAAGCCACCTTGGATCCCCGTTAGGGAGAAAGGTGAGTGATGAATGAAGTCAGTAGGTCATAACTGCTGGTTTGAACTTTTACAGTCTGCTTTTCAAAGGTCTTCTACAGGGTCCCTTACTCAGAATATGGATTAGGAGCTAAACATTTTGGTTTGGTTCAGGTTCACTCTGAAGAGATGAAGCCTTTCAAAAAGGATTGGCCGCCAGCTGGTATTTACGAAGAAAGCCTTAAATATGCTTCTCATCACACTGCTCGTTGCGAGTAGCATGGAGCGTGCACAAGGGGCAGGGGCCGTGGCTCAGTGGCAGAGCCTCTGCTTGCCACGCAAAAGGTCCCAGGTTCAGTCCCCGGCACCTCCAGTTTAGAAGAACTAGGCGGTAGGTGATGTGAAAGACCTCTTCTGCCTGAACCCCCGGAGAGCCGCTGCCGGTCTGAGTAGACAAGACTGACCTCCGTGGACCAAGGGTCTGATTCAGGATAAGGCAGATTCACATGTTCACAAAATGAACATAACTAGAGCATTTGCTATTAAGACTTCTTTTTTATAAAATAATATATATATATAGTTGAGTTTATTTTTGTGTGTGCCTGGAAGTCATAGTTGACTTCTGGTGACCCCTAGTGGGGCTTGGACATTAAGAGCAGTGGCTTGCTATTGCCTGCCTCTGCATCCCAGCTTTGGTATTTCTTGGAGCTTCCAAAACTTCCCCCCCCCCCCAAGTGAATCAGTTGTGTATCGTATCTCAAAGCCTGAAATTATTGCAAAGCGGAAAGGAAGTCATAGCCTGCAATCCAGGTCAGGTCCAAAACTACCCCCCCCCCCCAAGTGTATCAGTTGTGTATTGTATCTCAAAGCCTGAAATTATTGCAAAGCGGAAAGGAAGTCATAGCCTGCAAAAGCAAGGGCAACGAAAAAACTGTTTTAACAAATCCTCCCCCCGCAAGGGATGTACTTCCTCACCTCCTGGCTGCCGCCAGCCCGTGAGCATTGCTTTTGTCCTTCAGGTTGCCCTTCTTGGGAACAGGCAACCTGAATACCTGGTGGGGAAGGGGATGGTTTGCGGCTCAGGTAGACCCTCCCGCACAGCTGCATGATGTGAGCTCAAAAGATTGGTCGTCCTTTAAGGTGCTTAGTAGAAACGTTCAGGTTGGGGGGGGGGGAGGAAGCTGTATGTGTTTGCATTCAGATACAATTTGGCTCCCTGGCAGGCTCCAAAAGGCCGTAGTGTCAAGTGACGGCTCACGGTGGTGCGTTTTCTTGAGTAGTCCCAATCCTTGGAAATTCTCTCCCCATGCAAACTCTTAGGCAGATGTATTATCCTTTAGTAGCCTTGGCCTGGTTGTTACCTGACCCAGTCAATGCTCCCTCTGAGCTGTGGAGTCTGGTGAGCAAAAATTCTACTTTGTGAGCGACAGGCATGAAAGTTGCGAGCGATCGATTTGGCTACTGCATAAATGAGTTTGCTCTGGGGCCATCCTTCCGGAGCTAAGACAAAAATGGGTGACTGGAAGCTAAAAAAACTGTGAGCTAGCTCACACTAACTCAGCTTAGGGGGAACACTAGTCCCAGTTGGTTTTTTGTTCTGTTTTTTTAAAATGGTGATTTGGCCCCTTGCCCATTTGGGTAGAAACAGGACTCGGGTGGTGATGAGGCCTTTGCCCATTCAGAGGGTCTTTCCTACTCTGCTGTCCTCTAAAGGTAAATGGATTGTAGGGGAATATCGCCCAATTGTACGTCGACGTGTTCGGCTTCTTAGGAGCTTGCCTATCTTTGAATGCAGCAGTGTTAAATTCGCACCAATGAAAAGCAGTATAAAAATACTTCTGACTCTCCCTTACACCATTACTTCGTGTGTTTTGGCATAGCCCCTCCTAGGAGCTTGAAGGGCTGGTTCTGACACTGCCTCCAACCGGTTCCTCTCGAGATGCCACTTGCGAGATGAGCCGCATATGTTACATTACGCATCCCGCCGGCGTCTCGGTTTTTCTGAGTGCTTTTCTAAGCACGCTTGAAGAGACGGTGACCTGCACCTGAATCCATAGGATGGATTTCAGCAGCATAATGTTGGAGGCAGCCTTAAGAAAATTCCTCCTCCCTCCCCTGCATTGGTCACCGTCTCCTCTCCCCGGAGCTCAGGGCAGGGGGACTTCTCCCACCTTAATGCGGCTTGGCTGGCGGGCTTATTTTATTTATTTATTTATTTATTTATTTGGCGGAGATGAATCCGCGTTGCCTCAAGAGGCTTTTTGCTCAGGAGATAATAGCCCCAGCGGCTCTTCAGAGATCCATTTGTTGCCGTGGTGATAGGCCCGCTTCTTTTGTTGGTCCACCTCTACTTCAATAAAAAAAAGAAACCCCCTTCCTGTTATCAACCTGGTGAAAAATGTCTGCAAGTTCTTCAGAGCTAATCAACAGCCAGCATCGTTCTTTTCATCTGATAACTAGAGCGGGGGGGGGGGTTGTAAGAATGAAAATGGAATATGGATTGTATACAGCTGCGCTAATGGAACTCGACAGGGTACAGCTTCCAAGCCGCCAAAGTGAGCGCATGATGGATCATAACCTCCCCCCCCCCAAGCCAGATGCCCCCAGATTCAAAATGCACCTCGCCTCTAATGCTAACATGTCCAGTGTGTTGGGGGGAGGGGGCCTTTCGAGAAAAACTTGCTTTTTTTGTTTGCTTTTGACTCTGGCTAATACGACAGCCCTCATTTTGTGTAGCTCGGTTCGAATCCAGAAGTGCCTTAGAGTCCAGCAAGGTTTTGCGGTGTGCAAGCTTCCGAGAGTCAACGCTCGCCGTGTCAGCTCTCCGACGGAGGAAGGGTCGACTCTCAAAAGCTTACACCCCAAAATTCCTGTGGCCGTCTGAGTTCAAATCTAGCTCTTCTCCCCCAGACCAACACGGCTACTTTCTGAAATTTGTTTTGTGTGTGATCCCGCCCCCAATCCCCTTCCCCGTTGTCCTCTGCCCCTTCCAGGAACGAGATGGAAAGACACTTCTTGGAGCTCCTCCAGTTCAATATCAACGTTCCTGCCAGTGTTTACGCCAAATACTACTTTGACCTTCGCTCCTTAGCAGATGACAACCACCTGAGCTTTCTGCTAGAGCCCCTCAGCAAGGAACGGGCACAGAAGCTGGAGGTAATGGGCCCGGGGACGCGGTGTGCCAGGGGGATTGTTTGCATAACAGCAGCTTCTGTCACTAATCACATTAGCCTGGCTCAGCAAAGCTTTCTGGTCTGCTTTCTTGAAGGGTTTATTTAACCTCTTAGTAGCAGAAAGCCTCACAGGAAAGCTGGTTCTCTCTGAGGGAAGCGCGCATGCAAAAATGGGGGAGGTTCTGCCAACCAAGCGAGGTGCCTGGTCCCAGGGAGTGCATACCTGAGGGACTGCCTTTCCCCATGTGTTCCCCAGAGAGTACTGCGTTCTGGATCACACCATCTCCTCACTCTCCCTGGCCTCAAAGACGTCAGGCTGGCCACAACCAGGGCTAGAGCCTTCTCAGCAGTGGCGCCACTTTGGTGGAACGAGCTCCCAGAGGACATCAGGGCCTTGTGGGGTTTATCACAATTCCACAGGGCCTGCAAGACGGAGCTCTTCCACCAAGTGTTTGAGTAAGATGCCATATTAAACCGCTAACATCAACCGGGTTGGCTAGGCCCTATAATCCATCCTGTATGCCTGCTTTAATATCCACGCCCATGAGCCAGCCATACAACTATTGCTGATTTTACTGCAGCCGTCGCATATTTGTAGCACCTTCGGAATTTATTTATTATATTTATAACCTGCCCTCCCCACAAGCGGGCTCAAGGGCGGCTCACATTGCTGTTATAGCCCGAATCGTTCTAAATAATTGAGCTGGACGTGAGCTAGCGGACGCAATCGTAGCCGCATAGAAATCCTTCTTAGCAGCTTTGACTGCCATCTCATAGGATTTCATAAACGTCCTATAAGATGTTCTTGTTGCCTCGTCTCAAGCCCGACGTCACCGTCTTTCTAACTGTCTAAACTCTCACTTCATAAGCCACAACTCCTGGGTATACCAGGGGGCAAGCCTAGAGCGAGGGCGCAGATATTTAGGATATTAATTGTTTTTATGCTGCCAATGGCCTTGTAAGCCGCCCCAAGCCTGCTCCGGCGGGGAGGGCGGGGTGTAAATTAAATCAGTAAATAAATAAATCGTGCCTACTGATGGCTTGGATTAGGATTCCATAAATCTGGGGCGTATCTCCTCTGAGGTCATAGTTCAGGTAGGATTCACGGCAAGGCAGCGACGGAAGGAGGGAGAGAGCTGGCCCTCGGGGCGGGAGGGTGTGGAGCACCAGTGCTGCCACCATGAGGGAAGGAACAGCCTGCGGACTGGGACTGGGACTGGGGGGGGATCTCCTACACTGTGGACGGCCGGTGGGAGAATGACAGGACTGGTTGCTGCCCACCTGCAGCACCCTTAGCTGCTCACTTAGGTGCCCCAGGAGGGCCTAGTTAACAGCCTTCTAAATTCCTTGGTTTCAAGGGACTTGCAAGGGCACTTCTTCACCCAGCTCCCTCTAAGCTGTGGAGTCCTGTGAGCAAAAATTCTACTTTGTGAGCTACTGGCATTAAAGTTGGGAGCAGGTGATTTGGCCACTGCATAGATTAGTTTGCTCTGGAGCCATCCTTCCGGAACTAAGGCAAAAATCTCTGAGCCAGAGGCTAAAAAAACTGTGAGCTAGCTCACACTGACTCAACTTAGAGGGAACACTGCACCAGACTCCATAGCTCAGCTCCGTCCTACATCTGTGAGTTAACATCTCGGACACTTCCGAGTCGTTCAATTCATCAAACCTTTAGTGACCTTCTTCAGGGAGATAGTTCTGGCTTTCAGCTTCCAAGAGCGAGGGGTTAACCAATTGTGGGTAGTCAGTGGCAGGTCTTCTCTCTTCCCTTTTATTTAGCGGCTACTGGCAGACAGATGCTCTCTGTCTTGGGCTGTTTCTCACGTTACATTAGGCTCACACAGTATTGACCTTTGGGTCAGTAAACTGTAAAGCAGGGGTGTCGAACTCATTTGTGATGAGGGCCGAATCTGACATAAATGAGACCTTGTTCGGCCGGGCCATGTGTGTCATAAAATGTAATGCCAGGGAGCGGAGATATAAACTGTATAAAGGACACAAACACAAAGTTGTTTTTTTTTTTTACTTAAAATAAAAACATGCCTAAAACATTAGCACTCTTGCAATATTTTGTTTATCTAACAGTGTCTGATAACTGACACCTCTTGCTCTGAATTATTGCATCAAAATGTCTGTGCTGTTGCAATCTTGAGTATGCTGTTCAGGTGTGTAACTGTAAGCTGCAAACTTACAATGACGCAGCAGCAGCAGAACTGGAAGAAGCAGCAGGAGATGGCCAGTTTCACTGCAGGCCTGATAGAAGCCCTCCAGGGGCCTCATCCGACCCACGGGCCGCATGTTTGACACCCCTGCTGTAAAGCATAGTGAAAGTTTTCCAAAAAAGGGGGGGGGACAGTCCTGCGCAAGAAGGGTAACCAAAGAGGTTGGAATGACAAAAAAGAGATTAAAATATAACTATGAACGTAGTACGAATGAACAGAACACCGGCATTTAATTTAATAATGCATATAGAAATGCTAAACTGTGATTTAAAACAACAATCGTGGTTCAGCATATAAACACCTAATCCCAGACACCTAATCAAGACAGATATCAGTTTCCAAAAATACAGGCTTAAAAGTACATACTGTCTACATATGCAAGTTTCCCCTTCGTGTAAGAAACCTTAGTGCAAGTTTTCCGCCAGCCATGATGACACATAGTTCGTATGTCAATCACTTGCAGACTCACGTGACTGCAGCAGTTCCTTTAAGTGCTCAGGCCAGTGGGAGTTAGAGTTTCTTCATGTGTATACTTTTGCACAATAAAAGTGATTTGTACTGTTAACTCCGGTCTTAGATAAAGCAGTTCTTCTGCTTTCCTTGTGGTTCAACATGCCACTTGTGGTGTTTCAAGTGCTGCTGATAAGCCCCGCTGTTTAATCTCCACGGGCAACCGGAATGTTTTTGTCAATCAAAAAACAGGAACCCAAAAGTAGGTTGGAAAGGGTGTTGGGACAGGAGTGCTCCAGAGGAATGCGTGGCCCGCTCGGCTCTTGTTTCCCAGCTCTCCCCAAGTGCATCTGAGCGAAGATGTCGGGTTGGGTGTTAAGCCCACCTCTGCAGCACAACCAGATGTTCCAAGAAGAGGCGAGGGAGCGCTTGCAGTTGCAGTTCGGAAGCTAAGTTTTCCTTGGATGTGCACTCCCCAAAGTGGCAGCTAAACCAAAACAACTGCAACCTCGTTAAAGTGCAAAGACAGGTTTTCATAGTAAGCTGAATGCCCCTCCATGCCTTTCAGGAAGGATGCTGCTACTAGGATTGCCAGGTTCCTCCTGGGCCACTGGGTGGGTGGGGGAGCATTGCCAGCTCCAGATTGGGCAACCCCTGGGGAGGACCGGGACCTCAGTGGGGGTATAATGCCACAGAGTCCACCCTCCAAAGCATCCATTTTCTCCAGGGGGACTGATCTCTGTAGTCAGGAGATGAGCTGCAATTCTAGGGGATCCCCAGGTCCCACCTGGAGGATGGCATCCCTACATGTGAAACAATCTGAGTGTAATTTAATAGGATTTTAAAAATGTATATATATATATCAGACTGGAAATAAGCATTGATTGATTTTATTCGATTTATATCCTGCCCTCCCCTCATAGCAGGCTCAGGGCGGGTTCCATCAAATTTAGTAAAAAAAAATACAAGATACAAAAATTAAAACAGTTATAACGTCAATAAAATACCACAACACCATTCATCCAGTGCAAGTTAAAGTTAAAGCCTCACCGATGTCATCTATTTCAAGATTTCGTCCTTAGATGGCGATGCGGTTCTGACCCACTGAAGGGAGGCCCAGTAGAGGGCAGGCATGTATATATTCTTCTGTCCCATTAAAAGATATGCACTCAGGGCTTTAATCTCTCCTGGTGATGAAAACCTCTGCAGAACCACCTGAGGTGGACTTAAGGTTGCCAGACCCAGGTTGGGAAACTCCTGGAGAGTTGGGGGTGGAGCCTGGGGAGGACGGGGACCTCAATGGGGGAAGAGTCCACCCTCCAAAACATCCCATTTTCTCCAAGGGAACTGAACTCTGCTGTCTGGGAATGAGCTGTTAATTCTGGGGGGGTCCCGGAGGCTGGCCTCCCTAGATGGTGCTATTCGAAGAACATATTTGCCTCCCCCGTCGAGGTTCTAAAAGCTGGTAGACTTGCCTGGTATCATTATGGTTAACATGAGCCTTGCTTGTTTCCTTTTTTAATGTTACTCAAGTAAGCAAGTGAGAAGGGAACTGCGGCTAAACAGGTGCTGACTCGCCTTGTAAATCCTTCTCTTCCCAGTCCTTGTGACAATAAAACAATACTCCTAGCCTTCCTGAACACAAGCCACCATGGGGGGGTTTCATTGTTTAAAAAAAAGAAGAAAAGAAAACCTGTGTTTGGGCCCCTTTTGGGGGCATCCACTGATTCTGTCCGAATGTGGTTGTTCCAGGCGATCTCCCGGCTGTGCGAGGACAAATACAAAGACTTGTCTAAAGCTGCTATGAGGCGATCTTTCAGCGCTGATAACTTAGTCGGTATTCGCCGTTCTAACGCCATCCTCTCCTGAGCGAGACGGGGAACGCTGTGACGAGCCGGCGTGTTCCTCCGGACTGGGAATACCGCAGCCGCCGTCAGCCCACAAGCCAGCTGCGACGGTGTCTTCCGGCCAGAGGGGCCAGGGGTGAGCAAACGCAGCCCGGGAAGCCCCAGAGCCAGAGGACCGTGGGGGGGGGGGGGGAGGAGACGGGACCTCCTCAAACCGGCACACCCCTTTGAAAATCCAGAGGTGCAGAACCTTTTTGAAGATCCTTTTTCTCTGTGTTCTCTCCTCCTCCTCCGACACACAGATGTTTGCTTACTGTGTAGGCTCATAGCTGTGAACTACGTGAAGTTGGGTTTTTTAAAAAAAATAATGACTAGTTTTAAATTTTAGGGTTTTGAACATTAACACGACTCTCTAGTCGCAAAGCTCTTCCCCTTCAGTCATCCAGGACCTCACCGCTCCAGCCGCCTTTCGGGGACGGGGGCAGCGTGGACGGCCGGGACTCTTTAGGACACAGTCTGGAGCCAGTCTGGAGCTGATAATGGTGGCACTGGGGACGGCGGAAGGCTCTCTCCTCTCGTCTGCTGCCACGTATCTGCTATGCCAGTTTTTTAAGACCCAAGGGCTGCTGAGTAGGAGGTGGTGTTCCCGGGGTGAACCACGATCTCCCGGCTGGAGATTGTCAAGGGATTTGGAAGTGTTTGGGGGCAGGAGCAAAGGAATGGTGTTCAGGTGGTTTGCTAGCATGGGGGGGAGGGGGGGAAGAACAACCAGTGGGTCAGGGTCCATTTCTTGTCAGCTATGGTGCTTCTCGTGTTCTCCTACCTGCACTCGAGCCCCGGGAGAGACACGATCCACCGCACACTACTTTGCCTGAAACGCTGAACTAGGTTTCTGTCGAATGCTTAGTCCAAATGTACTGACTTGGCCACGAACAGACAATTAAGGCTGCGCTGCTAAAATTTTCACTACAATAAACTGGTATTGGGGGGGGGGGCAGGCCTGCTTGGATTCCCTACCCCTCCAAAGGTTTTCACAAGGCCTTAAATTGGAAACTGTGTCGAGGGTTCTTGACTTGGGGGGGGGGGAGAATACGGTGATCTTCAATTTATATAATTGCTTTTAAAACACTCAAAAGTAATTCAATGCCACTTGCTCTGGAAGCCAACTTGTAAAGCTGGCCTTCCTTCTAGATCAAGTTTACTGGTTCAGAACGGCAATTTACAATACGTTAAAAAAACAACTTCCTATGCCTAAAACTGGGCAGCACTTTGCCTCTGGGTCAGAGCACTCCAGCCTCATGTCCTTTTGAAGACCTCCCCCCGTCCGTTGGGTGTCGCTCCGACTCTTGTACAGCCCCCTCTTTCAGTCCGGTGCCTTCACGTTCCACGGCAGGTGTTCTCCGGCACTCGGACTGTTGGTCTCATGCAGTATTTTCCTCGACCGGCTCCAGGCGGGCAGTTTACGGTCTGCGACTTCAGGTATTGATCACAAATTTAAATTTTGAAACAAATGCTACATCTTCGGGTGGCTTTTCCCTTTCTCATGTTTGTATTAAAAAAGAGAAGCTAATAATAAACTCTATTTTAATTAAGACCAAGTGTCGTCAGTGTACTTTTGTGTGTCCTCTGTCTGAAGGTACATTCTTCCCCCCCAGTTTAAGTCACAGGATCAGCTCCAAGCACCTTTGGCCAAGCCAGGCTTCCATAGATTTCCTGCTCACTCCTGGAGGGCATGTATGAGAGCCATGAACGAGCTCCATTGAAACATGTAGCACTACTTGCTCAGACTGCTAGATCGGTCGGATCGTAGAGACCAATAAGATTTTCAAGAGTCAAGCTTATACCCCAGTTTACTGTAGTGGTTAAGAGCACACACTCTAATCTGGGAGAACCGGGTCTGATTCCCCACTCCTCCATATGGAGCTGCTGGTGTTACCTTGGGTAAGTCACAAGTTTACTCAGAGCAGTTCTCTAAAGAGCAGTCATCGAAAGAGCTCTCACAGTCCCACCTACCTCACAGAGTGTCTGTTGTGGGAAAGGGAAGGGAAAGGAATTGTAAGCCGCTCTGAGAACCTTTGGGTAGTGAATAGGGGTGTGCACCAAAAAAAAATTCAGAATTTTTCAGGTTTGGATCTACCGAGCCCAAAAGATTTCGGTATTTCCCAATATTCCCGAAACCCAGTATTGGTATGATACTGGGGTTCAGGAATTATCGGACTACCCAAATAATTTGGCTCAATTATACCCTATGGGGACTGTACCCATAGGGTATAATAATCCCCAGCCTTGAAGATTTTTTTCCCCCATCACTGAAGGGCCAGGGGCAGGCCGGGGGAGGGTCCTGGAAGGAGCAGGGAGGCATTTAAATGCCTCCCCATGCCTTCCCATCGCCCAGCAAAGGGATTCCCCGAATGGATGCCGAAGCCATTCGGGCAATCCCTGTTCAGCCAGCCAAATCAGATTCGTCCAAACCGAATGCACATCGCTAGTAGTGAAGGGCAGGGTATAAATCCAGACTCCTCCTCTTGTTGGTCTCTAAGGTGCTACTGCACTGGAATCTAACAGTTCTACGACAGACCGACAAGGCTACCCTTTGGGGGAGGGGCTGTGGCTCAGTGGAAGAGTGTCTGCTTTGCCTGCAGAAGGTCCCAGGTTCCATCCCGCAGCATCTCCCATAAAAAGGACCAGGTAATGTGAAAGACCTCTGCCTGAAACCCCGGGGAGCCACTGCCGGTCTGAGCGGACAGTACTGACACTGTTGGACTGATTCCGTATAAGGCAGCTTTCTGTGTCTTTAAGTGTGTGTACCCCCTGAAACAGCTTAGATCGCAGCAGACACATTTAATGTTCTCGTTCATCCCTGGAAGAGCTCCTAAATCTGGAGGAAGACTCCTTGGAGGAGGCTGCTTGTTGGGTAGTTGAATTCTCACACACATCCTCCGCCCGTAAGTATCTTTTCAAGCTGCAGCTGCCCGCCCGCTTAACATTGGGAGTAAGTTCCCCCTGAGCTCAGAAGGGTTGGCAGCCTGATCTCACGCTTGCTACTTGGGTCACAGCCGACCCTCTCAGCTCCCAATCAGGGTCGGAAACGCGGCTGTCAAATGCCGCGACTCCCTGGTCTCTCAACGCTGCCCACTGAAATGTGTAAGCCAGAAGTGCCTCATTGAGCTCAACAACAGAGCTCTTCGTGCTGGGAACGGGTTGCTGGCCTTCTGGGTGGTTCTGTGGTGCATGCCGAGGGAAAAGCCGTTTCAGAGGGCCACCGTGTTGGTCTGCAGTAAAACAGATTCGAGCCCGGGAGCACCTTCGAGAACTAGAGTTGGTCTCTAACATGCGACTGGACTCAAATCTAACTGGTAAGAATGCAGTAGAAAAGAGCAGGGGTCCAGTATCTGAAGGAGTGAGCACTGACGAAAGCTCCTCCCCTGCCACAAATGTTGTTAGTCTTTAAGGTGCTCCTGGACTCTTGCTCTTTTCTGCTGTTGCAGACAGACTAACGCGGCCACCCATCTTGGTAAGAATGCAAGTTCAGGTTCTTTACATACAAGGTTTTTGGTAGCTCCAAGAGCACCTGCTGTTTGCTTGCATCCAGCAAGCGATCACTGGAGAACTGGGCCTAAATGATATTTAGGTTCTATGGGTGGGTGAGCAGGACGGGGGCCAAGTGAGGAAGTGGGAGAGAAGGGAATGGCTGCACTCTTGACCTTCTCCGCAGTTCGTAGATCTTGCACGCAGCAGTTTGATGCATGTAACACTCGTGCGTTCTCATTGAGCTGGTGGTCGGTGCTGCGTTGGGGAAGAGAGGTGGATATCCCAAGAGGAGTGTACGCACGAGGTGCTGACGAGTCACGGCCGACTCATGTAAGGTTTTCAAGGCAAGAGACAAGCAGAGGTGGTTTTCCCATTGCTTGCCTCTGCGTAGCAACCCTGGACTTCCTTGGTACTTGGGTCCCATCCAAAAAGCAACTGGGGCCGACCCTGCTTAGCTTCTGAGATAGAGCCAGAGCAAGTGGCGGGGGATTCTTGGGAACAGTGGGAAGGAATGGTGTAATAGCGGTACGTCCGTCCTCAAAAGAGTTGTGGTGGAATTTCAGTTGTGGAGCACGTCTGCTTTTCCCTGGCGGCGGAGAAGAGCTCTTGACAGCTAGTGCCAAGCCAACCTGGGACGCGTGGGTTTTGTCCAAGTTCTTTTTGACTGTGTGAATATACTTAAAATATATATTATGAGGGTAGTTGGAGGTTCAGATGGAGGTCAAGATATAACTAGTGGGGGGGGCACTCTTGAGCCGCTGACCTCTTGCCTTTTGTATACAGGTGTGTGTTTTGTCTCCAAGGTAATTATGTATCGAAACCTCTTCAAGTAGGTTTGGCAGGTAGAGGACGTGTGCTCGGGCAGTGGAAGCATCAAGTGAGTGAAGGGTGGGAGGTGGGTGTTCAAGTACAGGTGGAGGAGGCCAGGTTAAAATGCCACGTGAAACATGACTGGGACCGTGACTCTGTGCTAATGGCGTTTCTGGTGAAAGACGGGGGCCCCCGGGGTGGCAGGGCTGAGAGTCTGAGATGCTGTGAAAGGATACAGGTTCCTAAGTACAGGGGTGGAGCTGTGGCACCCTGACAGAGCATCGGCTTAGCATGCGGAAAGTTCCCGGTTCAATCCCTGGCATGCTGGGAAAGACTGAAGGTCAAAGAAGACGGGGGATGGCAAAGGACGAGATGGTTAGACAGTGTCATAGACGCAACGAACATGAAGTTGAGCAAACTTCAGAGGACGGCGGAAGACAGGAGGGCCTGGCGGGATCTGGTCCATGGGGTCGCGAAGAGTCGGACTCGACTGTGCGACTGAACAACAACAAAAGGGAGGTAATGTGAAAGACTTCAGCATGAGACCCCGGAGAGGAGCTGCTGCTGGTCTGAGTAGACGATACCGACTTTGATGGACCAAGGGTGTGAGTCAGGGTAAGGCAGCCCCATGTGTTCATGGGAAGGGTGCACATTCAAAGAGATTTGGGCAGACAGAGGCACCCAGTAATCCTGCAAGAGAGAAGGTGTGTGTCTGTGCCCCAGGCCTCGACCTGGATAGCCCAGGCTACCCTGATTTGGTCAGATCTCAGAAGCTAAGCAGGGTCGGCCTTTGTTAGCATTTGGATGGGAGACCTCCAAGGAATACCAGGGTCATGGTGCGGAGGCAGGCAATGGCAAACGACCCCTGAACTCTTCTTCTCTCGAAATCCCTACTGGGTCACCGTAATTCAGCTGTGACTTGCCGGCCCTTTCCACTACCACCTTGTGCCCCGGAACTTTCCTTTTATCGCAGATGTCATTCCCGGTATAAAACAGGCTGGTTTCAGGGGGTTGAGTGTGGTTCCAGGACATGGACAGTACATGGCATTCGACCATCCTAGGACTGCATGGAAACCGAACCCAGGACTCTCCACCGTTTGAGAGCGAGCAAGATAGCCATCTTTCCCCCCCGACCATGAGGTTACCAGTTGCATTCCCTCCTGGGAAGACAAGCGTGGTTCTCTTGAGTGTTATCCACTCTGGAATGTTTTGTAACATTGAGAAATGTGTAGCGATGCTGTAGATCAGCTCTCAAATGTTCACTGTTCTAAATACTTGATTGGTTAAGTTCAGTTCTGCATGGTTCCCTCATTCAGTTTTGTGTGCCAGAGGGCCAGAAATTGTCACGTGTGCGAGTACTCAATTACTTCTTCCTTCCTTGTATTTTGAGGGCTTTCCTGAGTCGCCGCAAAGAAGATTTGTGGCCTCAAGAAGAGTTTCCTTCCATAGAGGAAGACTGCCCATTTATCTTCTGTGTTGCCTTGCAGCAGATAACACTTGAATTCGCCCAGATGAAAGAATCAGAGGGCTAGTTTATGCTTTGCATTTGGACACGGGACGCTCGCCTTTCCATTAAACTCTAGCTTCACAACCAAACCTGGTGAGTAAACTAGGTGGACGGGTTGTGGCAGCTTGCTCAGTGCCACACAATGAGGTTTGTAATAGAAGAAGGAGATTGGATTTATACCCTGCTCTTCACTACCCAAAGGAGTCTCAGAGTGGCTTACAATCTCCTTTCCCTTCCCCTCCCCACAACAGACACCCCGTGAGGTAGGTGGGGCTGAGAGAGCTCTTTTGAGAACTGCTCGTGAGAGAACAGCTCTGAGAGAACTTGTGACTGACCCAAGGTCACACCAGCAGCTGCATGTGGAGTGGGGCATCAAACCCAGTTCTCCCAGATTACACTACACCAAACTTGAGTGGTTCCATATCTCACGAGCATGCTCGAATCTGCCTTAGAATGAATCAGACTATCGGTCCATCAAGGTCAGTACTGTCTACTCAAACTGGCCGCAGCTCTCTGGGGTCTCAGGCAAAGGTCTTTCATATTACCTATTGCCTGGGTCCTTTTAACTTGAAGATGCCAGGGACTGAACCCGCAACCTTCTGCATGCAAAGCAGAGGCTCTTCCACGAACCCACAGCCCCTTGCGTCCAACAGAGCAGTCA